CCCGCGTCGCGCTGCCGCCCGCCAGCCCGCCGAGGGGCCGCCGGCCTGCACCCGGCGCCCGGCCGGCCCCTCGCCTCAGCCCTCGGCCCGTAAGTTCCCGCCCGAGCAGGTGGTCACAAATTCGGTGACTGCCCGGCTTTCGGTTTGCTCGTTTCTCTCCTCCAGTAGTTATTTTTCCCCAGAGCAGTTTTTCACATCTGTGTCACCTTCTGGCTGACATAGCTCTGTAGTTGTTTTCTTAGCTTATCTAAGGGCAAATGTCAAATTTATATCGCTCCTACTATTTTTTATATCGCTGAAGCCAGATATTTTGCAAAAGAAGGTTGGTTTTGTTGCAGCCTGTTCCTGAACAACCCACCTTAGCTGCTGCTTATCATCTGCTTCCCATCTAACTATTTGCAAATTGATTGCTCAATAACTTGATGTAAAATCTCTGCAGAGGCTGGTTAGGCTAACAAGTCTTTGCTTTCCTCAGTCCTCCTCCTCCCCTCTGCTAGGCGTATGTGCTAGTCTGCCTCTCTCGTCCTCTCTTGAGTTCTCAAGGTGTCACTTCAATCAGCATTTTAAGCATCAAGGGTGCATTTCATAAGTGTCTGCTGACTTGAAAAATCTTTATCTTATCTTTAACTTTATCCTTTACTCTTAACTTACCCTTTTCCACTTTGACCCCACCTTCTATCTCCCTGTGAAAGGAATTTCATTAAATACCTATTCACAATTAATCTTTCTGCTGAGGACTGAAATAAAGACATTTAACACTTTGTCCTACTTTGTGTCAGTTACAATTTATTCCTTTTCCTCTGAAGTTATAAACCTTGCCTTCTGTCTTTTATTGTATTTATGGAACCTTTACTTGTTACCCTTTATGTCCTTCACTTGTTATATCTCATTTCCGTACCATTGCTGTACTGATTTTATCCCTACATGATAGCACTGTCACTTTATACTGTTCCTTAGCCATGCATGCACACACTCCCTTCTTTTTTTTTAACTTTTTGTGTGATTTTTCAGGTCATTAAAGCTCTCCTGTTGCGGTTGCAACAGTCTCATACACTCTCTTTCCTCTGAATTGCTATTGTGCATTTGATATAGTCACTTTCAGCAACTGCTAGCTCTCTGATCTCTTCTGTCTCCCAGATTATTTGCCCAAGAGTCATGTCTGCCTATTCCCTGAGGTTTTTTTATGAAGTCTGTTAGTTTTATTCTGTTCTTCACAGTCTATTTTCCTTAGAAACACACAGTGAGAAACTTTGGCCAGCGGGCCAAATTCAGCTCACCAGAGCAATTCATCATGTCTAAATCCTTGATGCTCAGTCTCCTAAGGATCCTTTGGACAAAAACCGAAAGTAGGCTGCAGTATGGTTAAATGGTACTGGTAGCCCATTTCCTCGTGGCAGTTCCCTTTCTATGCCCAAGTTTTGCAGCACCTTCACGTCACATGGCATGAACTGAAATGGGCCTCTGTAGTCACATGGTGAAAGCATACGTCTTCTGTCATATCCAGCTGATGTATATCTCTTATCTGATCAAAATACAGCTATTTTCATTATGTTCCTGGTTGTGAACCCATCATGGTGCAGGAAATACTGGTGTTAGATATACAGGAAAAACCCATCATGGTGCAGGAAATACTGGTATTTTGCTTGTGTTAGATACATTTCAGGTCATCTGGTAAGAAAGAAGTCAATATTTTTTAACTGCATAAAAATCGACGTGGTCTGTCTCTGCCAGAAAGGTTCATTGTTAGAATCTTTACTTAGAAAACTGATTTTGTGGTCACTTTCACATATTGCTTTCCATCTTTAGAGTCTCAGTGCAGTTTCAGTGAGTTCTTCCCTTCTAGTCAAAGCTGAAATGGAAAGTGCCCATTCTTCTAGTAGCTTCCTCCAAATTGTGAAACACAAAGCTACTTTTAATTATGGCAGGTCATTCACCACACATACTGTATTCCGAGCTGATGGCTGGGTAAAGCCCACACTGATGATTAGTTACCATCATATCAGCTCTTGGATGGTGGCTCAGGAAGAGGTCCATTCAGCTCCTCCTTTCTATGTGGTCTGTTGCGATTGCTGCAAAGACAGCAATCTCGTGGTTTCTCTTTGCTCCTTCTTAGACTGCCTCATTGCTTCCTTCATTTTCAGAACTCATTCCTGTTCTACAGTGCAGAAACACTTACATCATAACTGTGATTTCATGTGAAGACTTCCCTCCTGTGGGTTGTTTGTTGGGTTTTTACATCTTTTTGTCTTTGTTACAGCTTTGCTGCAGGTCTGTGACCTCTTCTCTCCAAAGCTATAGCAGTGTTTCTTTTAATTTTCTGTGAGCCTTAGCCTCTGTTCTTCTTCAAAACTGCCCTTACTGCACTGAAGTTGAGTCCTAAAACTCTCTTCCATTTTATTATTGCATGAAATCTTTCTCTTCCTGCCATTAGCTTTTTGTGGAATGATGTCCCATCTGTTTGTCTCCTGGATTTATCTTTTCTGCCTGATGAAAACAATTCTGTTAGGCATATTTGTGGCCCATGGCCTTGAATCCTTTACCCTTGCACCCACAATTAATCCTTATACATCCATGGCGAGACCTAGGAGTCTGACCTAGCAGTGTCATTAGAGATCTTATGAATACGCATTGACAAATTTCCCTTATTGTCTTTGCCATTGGATCCATGTGTGCTGCCCATTTCCCTGACTGATTGGTGAGTATGTCAGATGGATGTCTGTGTCATGGTGGTAGCCATGGCATTCGCAGCTTTGAGACTTTTGCATCCCTTCCGTTGTGGCCCATATAGGATACCACGATAATAACCTGCATAAGCTTTTAATAGAATTCAGCTTCCATGAACTCACCATCTTCATGCCAGCCACAGGCCAGCTATGTCTATCCTCTAATATTTTCCATAATTACCCAGTTTACCTTACCTGTTTCTTCTCATTATTCCATTGACCATTACTTTCAGGAGCACAAGGTTATCTTGTGGTCCAATATTCCAGCAGAGTGGAATATAGGGAATAGGAGAAGATGGTAATAATATAATTTACTTCTGTAACTGTATTATTGAAGTGCTTGAAGTATTTTATGTTTCTCCTTGTATTAGTGACACATTGCAAGACAAAATTGGTTAGCACATACTTTATTAAGGAGGAAATATAACATGAAACTTAGAATGACATTTTGCTCTCAGAGGTGTTTATGAATTCTAATGTCTTGTAAAATTTTATGATGCTGCATTTTTCCTTCTGTTGCTTTCTGTTTTCTATTTTATTTTTTTTTTCCCCCCCAGAAGAAATCATTGTAGGTTTGGTGTCTTGGAAGTATGGAATCAATCTCGATGATGGGAAGTCCTAAGAACCTCAATGAAACTTTTCTACCAAACGTGGCCAATGGCATCAAGGATGTCAGTAAGATCACAATAGGCATCATCGGAAGTGGAGACTTTGCTAAATCATTGACAATTAGGCTTATCAGATGCGGGTACCACGTGGTCGTAGGAAGCAGAAACCCTAAACTTGCTGCCGAGTTCTTTCCCCATGTGGTTGATGTCACTCACCATGAAGATGCAGTAGCAAAAACAAATATCATTTTTGTAGCCATACACAGAGAACATTATGCCTCTTTGTGGGACCTCAAGCATTTACTCGCTGGTAAAATTCTGATTGATGTCAGCAATAATACAAGAGTAGACCAATATCCAGACTCCAATGCAGAGTATTTGGCATCACTTTTCCCAGATTCCCTGATTGTCAAAGGATTCAATGTCGTTTCAGCTTGGTCACTGCAGTTAGGACCAAAAGATGCCAGCAGACAGGTAAATGTTCTACTTGTATTAATTTAACTTGTTTGTAAGATGAAAATGACAGGAACTGAGTGTAAGCAGCCAGAACTCATGGGATTCATCCTGCCTGACATAACATACCTAAAATGTTGGGCCTTTAGCTTAAGTTTTAGTAGCCAATAAAACTTTCAGAGTCTAGTTCATCCCACTGTAAGACATACAGAATAAGTGGTCCTAATTGTCCCCTGGGGTGCCTCTTTGAAGATTGCAGAGGAAATGTTGGTACTAGCTTAGACTAGAAAGTTGACCTTTAGATGACTACAGACAGAGGAGAGGAGTTGGGTCTTAATGTCTTCTGTAGGAAATACGTTAATTTTTATCCTTATATATAAGGAGTCTATGCAAGAATAGAGGCAGCCTTTCCCAGTATATTTTAGTTTCAGTATTGGTTTATGTGAGGTGAACTATTGAAAGAGGTGCACAGAAATCTGAGGTCCTGAACTCAGTAGTCAGCTATTCTAAAAATGCTTGCATTCAACGTAACAGCAAATAGAATGAGAGAAATTATCTAGCTTTTTTAATGCCCCAAGATTATAAATATGAGGAAACAGAAGGAGGCACATATGTTTCTAAGACATCATTCACTCGATCCAGGACTGCTTGGGAACATCATGTTCAAATTCCTTCCCATTATGTTCCCCAAATCCATCCTGCATATAGAAAAGGCAGCTTTATGTTTTTCATGCTTTGCTGAAGTGATACAAAGGATTTAAGCCTGTGCAAGAACCCAGTCCTTCACGGCTTTATGGATTCTGAGAAATGCATGAGAAATGACTGGTGTAACATGAACTACTGGAGACTATATTAGTTTTCTGGCACTTCAGGTAGATTTTAAATGGAATGCAATTGATATAGAATTAGCATAATTTTATAAATCACCTCACAGTACTATTTTTATCCCCTTTCAGAATAGCACTGCACTAGAAGTAATTAAATTCTGTCAAAAGTGATCATGTTTGCTCTAATGAGGATGATCAGCAAACAGTCTTGGGCAAACTATAGCCCACTGTAAATTATAAAGTAACTTTAAAGTACTTTGTAGCAGTGCATTGCATTTCTTTCACTATGTGGTAAACTGGTCTTCAGAGGAGTTCTTATTTGGCTGCTAGTTTTTGTCTTTTCTGTTAAACATTCAACTTTTGTGGAAATCTGGATTGTGAAATCAAGCTAAAATTGTTATACATGGAGAGATTATACGGTTCTCTGCTTTTCATTCTGTTTATGGTACAGCTGTTTTAGGGTCATCATTCAAGATTCCTGTATTTTTGAGACTCATGATTTTCTGAAATGCTTTTAGCTGTTGTTTCAAGTTCAGTCCAGTCCTGTAGACATTTCAGTGGGTGGGGGTTCAGTGTGCAGATTACCTGAGCATCCCACAGTCAGCTCATTATTAACTGCCAATAAAAAACTATTTTGTTTTGGTTACTCTGTTGCTAATCAGTGTACATATTTTCACTGTGGCTGGATTTGTATATGGTTTCATTCTCACCTTGAGGATAGAAGCTGGGATAACAGTGTACAGTTTTAGTAGTAGTGCTATGGTTTTGTCCTGGAGGCCCTTAAGGTTTTTTTTGTGGTTGTTTTTTACCTTTTTTTTTTTACCTTTGCATCTCTTTCTCTGACTACAGACAATTTACTTGATTTTCCCAACAGGTCTATATATGCAGTAACAATGTTCAGGCTCGCCATCAAGTTATTGAGCTTGCCCGTCAGCTCAGTTTTACTCCTATTGATCTGGGGGCATTGTCATCTTCAAGGGAGATTGAAAACTTACCTCTGCGACTGTTCACACTGTGGAAGGGGCCTGTAGTGATTGCCATTAGCCTGGCAACGTTTTTCTTCATCTATTCTTTCATCAGAGATGTAATCCATCCATACGTGAGAAATCAGCAGAGTGACTTTTACAAGATCCCCATTGAGATCGTGAACAAGACTCTACCAATTGTTGCTATCACTTTACTTTCTCTAGTGTATTTATCAGGCCTTATTGCAGCTGCTTATCAGCTTTACTACGGTACTAAGTATAGGCGATTTCCACCCTGGCTGGATAACTGGCTCCAGTGCCGAAAGCAGCTTGGCTTGCTCAGTTTTTTCTTCGCAACAGTGCATGTGGCATACAGCCTCTGCTTACCTATGAGGAGATCGGAGCGATACTTGTTCCTCAATATGGCATATCAACAGGTAAGCCAATCTTTAGTTCAGTAAGCCAGAAATGCCTTGGCTGTATGCATATGGCTCATGAATACAATATATATGTTTTCTTAATCTGTTCCACTGTTTTCAGCGGAGAATGCTATGGGTTATCTTATGTATAGCGAGTGCCAAGTAAGAAGGGAGACTAAAAGAAACACCTGTGCACCTACTTGTGTGGTAGGGGAAATAAAGGATGTGTCCCACTTAAATCCCTGATAGTAATATAGACAAGGAGAATGTACGATAGACAGGATAAGAGCAGCAGCAAGAAAATTCTGAGTTTCTGAGGTATATCCTTCTCTATGTATACTTCACATATGGGGGAAGCATGTATATCAGAAGTGCGTTTACAAGTGTGAAAAAAGTGTAAGGGTAGATACTGTAATAATGCTTACAGATACACCTGTGTTTACAAAATGAAAATGCTGTTACTTTGTAACATTTTGGACAAGTGGTAAATCTCTTTTATTCTTTAAAAATTCTGTGAACATCATCCATTACAGGCAATATAAACTGACTTACAGTTCCCAGGAGCAATCAGTCTTGCATAACCCTGAAACAATCTCTGACAAATCTTGTCATCCTCTAGAAGAGGGTCAGATGCTCCTGTCTGTCAGTGAGGTAGCTTATTGTCACCTGTAAAGCAGCAGAAAAGCAGCATTGCCATTCAGCACATAAAATTTGCAGGAGAGAGAGATGTGATGGAATGGAAAGAAAAGCAAACTAAGGAAATCAAATCAAATGAAACAAATTAACAGGGACTGGGTCCAAATTCTGAAAGGGCTAGCATGAAAAATTGAACTTAAGAGGAAGGCAGGAAGAGCAAAACTATAAAAGGCAGCAAGAAACTGTAATTGTTCGTACTTATTAAAGGACCCACTGACACTTTTACTAAGAAATGACCTTGGTTTTAATATTGTAAAACTCTCACTTGTTAATATCCTGGTGAACCTCTTTCAAGATATGCCATGTCACAATAGTTTACCTGAAAGTGAAAAAATAATTGAATATGCAAGCCTCTTAATTGTTAAGGACCTGAGTTGTTTCTTTTTTCTGGTACAGCTCTCCAACAAGAACAATCTTGGATGTATGTGATGTTAACAGTGGAAGAGGCAAAATAACTTGGACTCAGCATAGGGAGCTGAAGCAAAAACAGGAAATTATGCTAAATTCTTTCTAAATGCAACAAACTAAAACCAAATTACAGGTTTACCCAATTTATGTTATAGAATTTAAGTTTCCAGGGTCTGAAGAACACAGCAACTTTTCTACAGTATATAGCAATGTGCAGATTTATCTGTTTTTATAACATAATTGTTACAAATACTATATAATGTTACGTTTTCTTTTAACAATTCATCTAAGTTTCCATGTTTTACATATTTTCAGTCTAACAAGAGCCAATACCAGCAATAAGGAAATAGTTGTTTTTCTCTAAGACATGAGGAAACTTCTGAAATATTTGACCCCATTTTATAGTTGTCCGGTGACTGTAAATTTTCATTCAGCAAAATAACTTCTGTTGATATTTTAAATATTCTGGAGAATAAAGTGCTTCCTTTCTGCTCTTTTGTCAGGTTCACGCAAATGTTGAAAATTCTTGGAATGAGGAAGAAGTGTGGCGAATTGAAATGTATGTCTCCTTTGGAATAATGAGTCTTGGATTGCTTGCGTTGCTGGCAGTAACTTCCATCCCTTCAGTAAACAGTGCCTTAAACTGGAGGGAGTTCAGTTTTATTCAGGTGTGTTACTTTTTTAATAAGGGGGTTTTGTTGTTAACAACAATTCCTTGATGATGATCATGATGATGGTGGTGATCATGATCATGAGCAAAAGCACTTTGCAACATGATGAGAGCTTTTTTTTCCCCTCTCTCTGGTAAGTTAATAAAAACAAGATATGCTTACTCAGCAGATACATTACCATGAAGCATTTTTTGAGTGTTAGAATAGGAATTTGCATTTTATACTTCTTGGTCTTAAATAACCAACATAGCTAAGACCAAATGAGCACTAATCTATTCCTTTTCCATTGTTAGAATTTCTGGCTAAATTCAAATTAGATAAATTTGGACAAACTCGCTAAAGGCAATGATAGTGATGAGATACTACTATATGTAAATGCCTACAACTGTTAAAATTGAAGACTTAATTTGTGCTGCAGGACTTTTACTGCACAGCCCTCTGACAGCTTTGTTTGTTAAAAGCAGAGCTTTTCCAGGTCCTGGCATGCCTTCTGCTGCCCTCCTTCCTCAGATAAATATCTACAATAGGCAGACCTAACCAGCATAAAATGCTGAGAAATATAGATGTTAATAAACAGCTTATTGTTTGCTTTCAAACAAAATTGCCACTAGTTTTAGGTAGCAGTCAGTGGAAATTTTATTAAGATTCGATGTTGTGATAAATTTCCTAAGTGTGTACACGCAGTTTTGGGGTTTGTTATGTTTTGTTTTGTTCTCTGACGTTGGATTCAGTACTCTAGTCTTAACTCAGTCTTTTCTGATTAATGTTTTTTCAAGGTAGCCACTGTAATAATATTGCCTTAGTCCTGTCACTGTTTACAAATTCCTGCCTTCAGCAAACAGGCACTGACTTTACTGTTCAGGGCTTGACTTGCACCTCTACAGACATTTTAAAGGGAGTGATGGGGAACACTTACTTGGCTGAAGTTGGCAGAGGTCTTCTGTCTGTAAAGTAATGTCTTCCTTTCCCCTAGGGTTTCCCTTGGTGGAACACTCCAGGTAGGCCTACAAAAAGTTTGCTGAAAAAATTTTCAAAGTAAGAGTTCCCCTGACAGAACTGTTTTTTCTCACTCATGGTTTTGAGCCTTCAGAGGGAGTAAATACCCATTTTGTATTGTTACAACATCCCTACCATCCAGAGTTCTCTGTGCGGGGACAATAGTACGGCTGTTGGGTGATGTAAAATGTTAGCGCAAAAGGGAAAAATATGCATTCACTCATGAGTGAGGTGATGCGTTTATCTACTAATGATTTCCAGGCACAAACCCAGCATTTACGTCTTACTTTTCCTTACTCAGATTTCCAAATTTCAGGCTTGTGTGACTGAGTCAAAACCCATACAATGATCACATAGCGATGCGTCTACAAGGGCACATTTTATTGTGTCATATTTACTGCACTTATTTCTACTGTAAATAAAGTCAAAATAGTTCCAAACTTAAATAATTATGAACTTTAATGAATCATCTGTCAGTATTTTGAGGAGTTTGATTGGGATCAAGTTGTTGGCTCTGAAGGTATGTTACAGCTGATACTGAATTACATGCTGAAGAGAACTGGTATTGGTAATTAATTACGATCATTTGCAATTTTTAATCACAAAAAATACTGAACTACTAAAAATGTCCTTAAAGTTAATAATTATTAAACATACTTTACTTTGTCATTGGTTACTTTTCAGGATGTAAGTTGTTCTTCCTTTAGTTAATTGTCCTTCAAAAAAGTCCTCCTGCTTTATTCAATCAGAAAACACACTTTCAGTGATCCCTCACTAAAGTACAAAGAGTCTGCATTTCTGCATAAGCTTCATTGTACCCAGTATGCAAGTAGAACAGCTAAAACATCATAATAATTACTGTCTTTTGTATTTTTCTTCTACTGAAGTGCAATACGATGAAGTGAATTGGAACTTAATTTCCTCAATCTTCTCTAAGTCAGGGCAACAAACAGTGGAACTATTAGCCCATCATCTCAGTGCTGCTTTTTTATAGCTGGGAAAAGCATTGTGTCTCTAGCTTTAGTTCTGAATCTCAGATGATTTGCCATAATAATTGCTGAACTTGTTTTGCATCTGACAGATGATGAATCCGTCAGTCAGCATACTCACACAGTTTCTCACCTCAGCACTTCCCACTGAGAACAACATACTATTGCTTGCTCATCTTTTTTAATACAGTTTCATCAAAATAAAGGTCTGGCCTCTTCTAAAGAGTTTAACCACTAAAACATACTCAGTCTGGAGTCCTATTAGCAAAATCTGAGTTTAGGATTAACAAATTATCAACATATACAGTATAGACTATTTTCTAGCCTTGTTCCAGTAGTGCGAGCCCTGAGCAGCATCTCCCCTACCTATAGTGGTTCAAACAGACCTCCTACAGTCTTCCTAAAACTGAAAAGAAAACCCAGTTGTGAATGTTTTTGCCCAGAAATCATTGCTGTCTTTGATATCCCCAATTATTTTGGAGATGCCTCCATCTTACCTAGTCTGGTTTCACAACACAGGTGTCACCATCCCCATAAATTCCAGCCTGCTTGATCAAGGGAAAAGGACTTTGAGAGGAAAAGCAGTGCAGGCTCTGCTCATTCCCTCAGAGTATGAATATGAACAAAGTGAGATATGAGAAGGTTGAACAGTGATGCAAAAGGAAGTTACTGTGGCAGCCGTACCAGGAGCTGAGACAACTTGGAGTTGCTGCAGTACAGAGCTGACCACTGTACAAAACAAATATCTGATTACTTCATCATGATTCAGAGAGAAACACTCATAACATCCAGATGGAGGAGCCACAGAACCAGACAGTGATGAAGAGTTTGCTCAATACAAGAGCCTAGATGATGGAAACATAGCATGAAACTTTGCAGGCATCTTAACATGACCCAGAGTTGGAGCTTACTAAAGAAAGAAGCAGGGAAGAAGCTGGTGTGGATAAACCAATGCATCAGTTTTCTTAAATGTAGGGAAGAAGCTGGAGCTGATAAACCAATGAATCAGTTTTCTTAAACGCCACTTGAGGACTCTTCTCTTCTAGACATACTTGGATAAGGAACAAAGGTAGACATGGGCAAGAAATAAAAAAGAATTTGTTTTTTGTCAGAGCAGGCAGAATAACTAGCCTAAACTAATACACAGTGAACAGAAAAAGACATTTATTAAAACCAGTCCTTGTGTGTTCACATAAAATACATGGAAACGGAGAATATTGTCTGCAAGCAGTGCTGCATCAGGTCCTTCAGTCTTCTGAAGGAAGTTGAATTGTAAATATATAATGTAAGCATAAATGACTAACACTTTTGTTTTCCAGTTTAACAGTTCAAGTCCAAAGCACACCACTCAAAGTGGCAATGGACAGAGCAGACTGGCTTTGAAAGCTGAGCTTTTGTGTTTCTTAGCAAAAATCAGTGCAAATCTGTCACCTGCATAGTAGGAAGCTGATCTTTTTGTAGACATTCCTTTTATCTGCCAGCACAATCCTAACGTTTTTTGGAGACAATATTACTAAAACTTTCTTGCGCACACACTTTGAGGAAGGGCTACCTTGCCTTGGTTCTCCCACAAGAATAGGATACTTTTCCCCCAAAGTAAAGAAGAATGAGGCCTGAGTGTTTAGCAGGTTTACGGATAAGATTCCGGTCAGAATTGCTACAGCCTGTTTATAAGTTTAGCAATATCCTGTTACTGGTGGAATCTGAAGTATACCTTGCATAAACGTAGGCTTTGGAAAATACCTTTGTACATATCAATTGCTTGGAACTACATGACCATTGTGAAGGTAGAAATCCCTGAAGCAGATTTGTCCCACAGCAGATTTGTGTCTCAATATATGTACATCTTCCTGGTAACGTTTTAGGGATTTTTCTCCTCTTCTAACACTTTTTTTTTTTTTCCCCAAAAAAATGCCAGTTTGTCCAGTTTATCAGTGGCCTTAGCTGGTAATCTCCCACATTGGCTAAAAAACTGACTTTGATCAGGAAGGAAAAGAAACAGAACAGGGAAGACTTAGAGAAGAGCTAAAAGATTGGAAAGTCCATAGGAAATGTGCTAATCTATTACTCAGCTTCCAGGAAACACGGTATTATGGAAGATAAGGAAGCAAAGCAACCAAAGATGTTCTTCCCCTTTTCCCAGCAGCTGTCCTAGAGCCTAGGCAGAGGGTTCCCAAGACTTACAACTGATATTGCTACTCACTCACCAATGTGAATTTACCAGTAAAGTAAAAGTATCCCTTCTTGCTGCTTCCAAAAGGCTTCTGCTCTTAAAGAAGTTAGCATCCTGTGCCTCTCCTGGCCTCCCTGTGGTAACATTGGTGTAACTGATCCTCCAGCTCTTGTAGACACATTCATCGCTCTCTTTTTGTGTCTTAAGAAGCCAGGAAAGGATAAGAGAAATGCCATATGTATAATCCATATGAAGCACAACTACATTTCAGGAAATCCATTATCTTTAATCCCTGTATTCTCTCTTCCACATTGTTCAGTCATAAGCTTGTGCAGAAGAAAATAACCTTGCATACCTGAAGGACAGCACCTCTCTCACCTTTCCAGTATTAACCAGACTGCTTCCTAGCAACTAAGAACTCCCACAGCACAATCATAATTTATTTCTCGATAATTGAAACATCTGTCATGTTAGCATCCAAAGGGTGGTCAACTTTGGAATATGGCTTTCTGACATCACCACTGGCCAAGATTTGTAGTATGATCCAGTGCTACCAACTGATTTTATTTTTACTGTTCAGCTGCCCAGCTGCTGCACTAGCTGATGTCTTTTTGTCCAAGCGTGCTTCAGTCGGTTCTGAGTTTCCTCATTTTACTACTGTACAGCCATTGCTGTAGTCTTTGAACATTTGCAGATACAGAAAAATCAAGTCTTTATAACAAACAGGAGTTTTGTATTGACACAGCCTCCTGCAGTGGGGTTTTACTTCAGTAGCAAAGGCAGCCAGTCTTGCTTGTACTTCTGGAGAAGTCATTGTCAGTAGCTGCAAGCTAGGATAAATGCACTTAACAGAACTTTCTAGTGCAGATTCGCCCTGACTAAACAAACCAAAGACTGCAGAATGCTAAGTTGTGTTGAGGCATCCTCTTTCTAGCTAAGCAGTGTCATTACTGTCAAAAGTACAGTACAGAAATACGGCAATTAAGGGCCTGGTAGAAGAAAATACCATCAGTAGCTGACAGAAGCTCCTATGGGAGTGTCTTTGTTGTCAGATTTTCAGATGAGTGGTTGAAATGGTCCAGTACATACTAGCACGTGCCCTACCAACACTTCTAAGAAGCATATGGCAACCTTTCACAGGGAAAAAAAAAAGAACTTAATGGTGATGCATCATATGTTTTTCTTGTCCTTGTGCTGTTAGTTATAAATGTGCTGATAAATGTATTGATGTACTTGTTAGCTTCTATTTTGGCCATTAGATAGAAACACATACATAGTTGTCTCAAAACTGTAGTTTTCAGATGAACTTTAAATAAGAATTAGCACTTTTTTTGAAAAATCTGGGAAGAGTCTATAGAATATTTCCCTCTTGTTTCTTTTTCAAGAATCGTTATAGTTCTTATCAGTAAGCCTGATGAAGAAATGAGGGATATGATTCACTTGTGCCCTTTTCTCTGCTGGCAGTGATACAACAGCAATGAATTCAGGACAATCGTACCAGCAAAAATCTGCGATAACATATTCAAACATCAGATTTTATAGTATTGTTTGTTGCCCAAATTTCTTGCCAGAACTTCCGTTCAGATACTGCGTGTACCATTTTCATATCCACAAGTGGTTGTCTGATTGTTCTGTTTCTTATGGAATATTTTAGGAGCAAATTGTTCTTTTTTTAAAAAGGGTGAAGCACATCTAAAATGTACCAACTTGGCTCTGAAACCATTGGCAAAAAAGGGCATAAATATTGGCAAGCTGAAAAACACGGTACCAACTCTAGAAATTAACAAAAGTATTTTCCTTTTTATACCATTATATCCGTGAATCCTTGGAAATGGTATTGTCTCAAACATTCTCCTTTCCCTAGAATCTGGTTAATCTTGAAGTAGAAAGAATTAATTATTTCACTAGCTATAATAGACCCTTAGGCTGCATTTTTCTTTGCCTCTCTGTTTACTGGAATTAAACCAAAACTTGGTAGCCAGTTACCTTTCTTAATATTGATTCTCCATTTTGATGATTTTCTACAAATGCTTCCCAACCAAGTTAGTCATTACATCAGTCTTGGCCAAAAAGAGTTTTTCTTCATTTGATCACCACCAAAATTCAAAGCATAGTAATCTTTTTTTACCACGGTTTGGGAAAGTCAAGGCTAATACATTTAACGCAAATCTGCAGAGCAATACAAATACAGGGTTGTTAAAAGGGCAGATGCGCAGAAACGGTGAATGACCCCTGTTAGCACTACCTTCTGTGGCATACTCTAGATTACAGGATAAGAGGTCCTCTGCAGGGTGTTGTGGGAACCTTCTGCTTCATGTTTCACCCAGCACTACCTGTTATAAACTGCATTGTTGCCTTGTCCTGCAGTCCAGGTATTCCAGTAGGCAACAGCTGATGGAGAAAGGTAAGGGATGGTTTATGCCAACTTCAGGCAAGGAAGAAGCAAACTGCACCTCTCTGAGTGATAAAAATCTGGAGCGTTAGGCCCAGATCTCTTCCAGCAGAATTGCATTGTTCCATAATCATGAATCTTGGAAGTGATCTACCCTCATAGTTAAGAAATGGGGAACTTAATTTCCAATCACAACTGATGTTCCAGTCACATCACTGGGATTGTTCCCTATTCGCACACGTATCCTGAAGTTGACTTCCATTATTTAGAGTTTGGGCAAACATCATCTTCATTTCAGCTTTGACTAAGGCCTATAGATGCTAGAAGCAGAGATATGTTGTAAATAAGTGTTCAGTTCGGTCTGTAGTTTTCAGAACATGTGAACTTAAACCCACGTATTGCTAAAATAGTGTACAGGTAAGAGATTTTAACATGATGCCTAATAGAAATGTTAACATAATGGGTTAGAGCTGTCAGATGAAGGACCAAGTACTATTATCTCATCTTTTTTCCCTGTTTTCTCTTTTTTCAAAGTCTACACTTGGATATGTTGCTCTGCTCATAAGTACTTTCCATGTACTGATTTACGGATGGAAAAGAGCTTTTGAAGAAGAGTATTACAGATTTTATACACCACCAAATTTTGTTCTTGCCCTTGTTCTGCCTTCTGTTGTAATTCTAGGTAAGATCATTTTACTTTTGCCATGTGTAAGTAGGAAACTGAGGAGAATTCGAAGAGGATGGGAGAAAAGCCATGTTATAGAAGAAGCAAGTGGGTCTGTTCCACATCTCTCCCCAGAAAGGATAACTGTGATGTGATAAGAGACTAATATACTAATATTTGTCAGCACTGTTGCAGATGTTTGGGTGGGCTTTTTTGGTCATAAACATGTATTTTTAGGACTTTAGTAAAGTCACTGTGGACTTGTGTGGCATATAGTACAAGCTCTCAACCAAACTATGAGAAATTTATAACTAGAAGACTACTACTTCAGATAACTACAAAAATACTTTTGTTTTGAATTAGAGAGGGCAGATGAGTATGAAATCAGAATTTTTTAATGCTCCTTTGCACAGTTGCATCACAACAATATTTTATTATAATCATGCTTCCCAGATATTTCTTTGACGTAGACCATATGTGTCAGAGTGCTGTTTATTAATACCACATTTTCTGGACAGTGTTTCTTTTCTTAAAACCATACTTCTGGGTTAGTGAGTTCACAATATAGACTAATAGGGTTAATAATTTAGGAAATAATCAGGTTTTGAAACAACTTAAATTAATTTGTAATGATGTATTGCACATGTACAGTGTATTTATTTGTGTGTGGTTTTACACCATTCCATGATTTGAATATGCAAAACCAGTTTCAATTATGGTGTAATTGTACATCTTGTAAGCAAATGGTATTGTACTAACAGGGTCATTTTTTTCAAAGTATCACATAGGATTTTAGACCTTTGGCATATTTTTATTTCCATACATCATATAATGAAAATTCGAAAGTGTTATACATGTATAGAAAGCCTTGCAGATATGTGTGCAAGCAAGTAGGTTTTGATTTTCAAATTATTTCAAAATATCAGAAAACATTACAAAACAAACAAACCAAAAAAAAGCTGAGAAATCTGCAACAATAAAAATCCATTTTCACTGTGAAACTTCCAGTAAGTTGATACAACAGGGAAGCATCACAATTCTTATGTTCTATATGTTTCTACACTGGAGTTTCAGTTATTATACATGAATTTCCCAGAGTCTGTCTTAAATTCTTAGTATCTTTTTGTGCAAATCCAATCTTCTATTTTTATATAAAGGTCATACTTTTACAACAAGTATCTCTGGGATATTGCTGAATTTTTGAGAAACAAAATTATTATTATTCTTATACTTAAAAATGAATTTATCTCTAAAACTTGACATTTGCATTTCCTGTGGGTTTCAAAAGAACGTTCACAATTACTTATTAATACTGCTTTGTCAGGTTATACTCTTCTCTAAAAAAACAGCCAAACTCAACTCGTACTTTCAGGATACTCCTGCCTAATTAGCAAAACCTTTATTTCAGTGAACCAGAATGTGTCCTAATTTTCTTTACTTCTATGTAATTATATTTTTCTTGTCTATATTTGTACTGTTTAGGATCTCTGACTTTCTTAGCTGAACCTTCACTTGTTTATTACTTTGCAAGAATTTGTCATTGATATGATACATCAGAAATACACAGTGCTTAAGCTTGAATTTATCCTTAAACATCACTAGTCCTGTAAATCTCATTATTTCTATTTGTAATGAAACCAACAGCTCCATAGAAAAAGAAAAATTCAGAATCAAACTCTGTCTCCAGTTACACCAACCTAAATCTAAAGGGTTCATTTTAGTTGTTCTTAATTTCATTTCAAATTAAAAAAAATCTACAACAGTTTTCTTTTTGATTGTAGTATCCATATTCCCCAAACTTACACATCAAGCCTGTGTATATTCACAGCTTGTTGCAAATTAAGAGGCAGTTGAACTTTCTTTCATTTTAAGCATGTTCAAATCTAGAGATGAAAAATAAAATATTTGCATTTTTTTTTCCAGAATTAAAGGAGTTTTTCATATGTCTTTAAACATGTTTTGTATCAAATGAGAGGTTAGTGAATTCCTTTTGAAAATGGAGGTTTGATACACAAGAAAAATACTATTACAGAATCACAGAATCACAGAATGGTCAGGGCTGGAAGGGACCTCTGGAGATCATCTAGTCCAACCCCCCTGCCAGAGCAGGGTCACCTACAGCAGGTTGCACAGTATGGCGTCCAGGTGGGTTTTGAATGTCTCCAGTGTGGGAGACTCCACAACCTCTCTGGGCAGCCTGTGCCAGTGCTCTGCCACCCTCAAAGTAAAGATGTTCCTCCTCATGTTGAGAGGAGATGGAACTTCCTATATTCAAGTTTGTACCCGTTACCTCTTGTCCTATCACTGGGCACCACTGAAAAAAGACTGTTCCCATCTCCCTGGCACCCTCCCTTTAAGTATTTGTAAGCATTAATAAGATCTCGCCGGTGTCTTCTTTTCTCTAGACTAAAAATATCCAAGTCCCTCAGCCTTTCCTCATAAGAAAGATGTTCCAATCCCCTAATAATGTTTGTAGCCCTTTGTTGGACCCTCTCCAGCAGTTCCCTGTCCTTCTTGAACTGGGGAGCCCAGAACTGGACACAATACTCCTAATGTGGCCTCACCAGGGCAGAGTAGAGGGAAAGGATGACCTCCCTCGACCTGCTGGCCACACTCGTCTTGATGCACCCCAGGATGCCATTCATCTTCTTGGCCGCCAGGGCACATTGCTGGCTCATGGTCATCCTGTTGTCCACCAGGACTCCCAGGTCCCTTTCCACAGAGCTGCTCTCCAGGAGGTCAGCCCCCAACCTGTACTGATGCATGGGGTTATTCCTCCCCAGATGCAGCACCCTACACTTGCCCTTGTTGAATTTCATAAGGTTCCTCTCTGCCCAACTCTCCAGCCTGTCCAGGTCACACTGTATGGCAGCACAGCCTTCTGGCGTGTCAGCCACTCCTCCCAGTTTTGTGTCATCAGCAAACTTGCTGATGGTACACTCTATCCCTTCATCCAGGTCACTGATGAATATATTGAACAGGACTGGACCCGGTACTGACCCCTGAGGGACACCACTCATTACTGACCTCCAACTAGACTCTGCACCCCTAACCACAACCCTCTGAGCTCTGTCTGCCAGCCACTGATCAATCCACCCCACTATCCATTCATCTAACCCACAATTCTTAAGCTTGCCTGTGAGGATGATGTGGGAGACAGTGTCTAAAGCCTTGCCAAAGTCAAGGTAGACAACATCCACTGCCCTCCCCTCATCCACCCATCCAGTCATTCCATCATAGAAGGCTATCAGATTAGTCAGACATGACTTCCCTTGGTGAATCCATGTTGACTACTTCTGATAACCTTCTTTTCTTCCAGATGCTTTGAGATGACACCCAGAACAATCTGTTCCATCATCTTTCCAGGGATGGAGGTGAGGCTGACCAGCCTGTAGTTTCCCAGGTCATCCTTCTTGCCCTTTTTGAAGACTGGAGTGACATTGGCTTCCCTCCAGTCCTCAGGCACCTCACCTATTCTCCAGGACCTTTCAAAGATGATGGAGAGTGGCCTAGACATTAAGTGAAAAACCTGTCATTGTTGGAGATAGACAGGAGCCTAAACTAGTACGAATGAAATTTTCACATAAAAATGAAGAACAAGTGACAATTACAACTTCTAACTTACTTTGCCTGTCTGTAAATACATTCCAATGTATAAAGCTATATATTTCTTGAAAGCCTTGCAGAATTACATGTAACTGAATTTCCTATTCCATTACTGCAGAGGGAAACCCCACAAAGCTTAGGCATTTGTGCTTCAATCCTTTAAATAAAATTATTTTTTAAAATCTTAGAATACACAAAGCCTTGCAGAATTTTAATGGGATAAATGCCATGCTACGTTCTACCCCAGTCCTATGCACGAAACCTGACTAAAATTGCTAGAATGGGATGGTATAACTGAGAGCAGAATTTCATACCTCTGAACAAATTTAGGGCAGAAACCATTACTGTCAACAATCTGATTACATTTCAAAATTAAATATGCTGCTATTATTTTATAGTAATTCTACACTTCTGTAGAATAGGTAATTAACATTCGTGTTCCCTGAAATTATCTAATCTGTTTGATGCAATAGTGATAATGTTGCAGAACTAAGATACTGTACTAATGGAAAATTACTGTCAAAGTCCATATCCATTGTATTGTAATGCAACCACTGACAGTATGTACAGAAATGTATTGGCCCTCTTTCCTATGCAAAAAGTTATTTCATCATTAAATTCCTTCAAGAATGTTTAAACTGTTAAATTTTGAACTGCCAAAGGTGTCTGGAGAGAATAATGATGTGTTGTTCCTTTTTTCAGACTGTGTGTGTAGAAAATTAAAAATGTGTTTTGATTTTATAAGTTACTTGAAAGGTTGAAATATTAAAGTATTAACAAATAGAGGATATTTTTAGATCAAATATATGAAGACATTTTGTGAAATATTTGTGCTACAAAATGACATATGGTTTCCCGTGTTTACTTCTAACTGGAGTGACAAGTTGACTTGTGACTTAATATTTTGTAGTGTTCTTTAAGGACCAAGTCACTCTAACAAGACGCTGTTAAATCTGAAAGTAAAATGACACTCATGCATTTGCTACACATTCTGTGTCATATCATGCATATGTTTAGTCACATAAGGAATCTATTCATGTGATCAAACACATTGATTTCTATAGAAGAACTCACATTAGGACTTCTCATTGGAAAAAGACCTGAGGATAAAATTGTATTTTTATTTTTGATTGCCTAAATATAATGAACTAAATTCATTTAGATGTCTTAGTTACTTAGGAGAATAAATACATATTTTGACAAATAGACTGGTATAAAAATATTTTTGTGTAGCTTTATATAAATTGCTTACTGCCTAATGGAAAATGAATAGTGAAATAATCTTTATTTCTCTTCTTTACTGTTCAGTAAAAAAGAATAGTGCTTAATATGTAATACAGAACTGTACACATCATATTAGGAAGTTGAAACCTCTGTATTTAGCAACAGGTTATTTGTTTTCTATGCACATTAAGGTATTCTTTCTTAACATTGTCTATATTACAGGTTCCGTATGGGTCTTTAGTTTTATCTTACAATTCTATTAACTGTGGCAAATATGTACAAGTTAATTAAGTACCTGTGCTCTTGAATTATTTAGAGATTAATTATTTTGGAATTATT